AAAAAAAAAAAAAGGCTGGCAATTTGAATACAACAAGCTACTGCTCAGGAGAAAGATCTGGCAATCTTCTCACCCACAATTAACAGCCATGCAAAACCCTATGGGGCAAGGAATGCCTTGATAGAGAACACAAAAGCAGAAACTGTGTATCTCAGCAACCAAGACAGCACATGATCTCTTCTTCCTTATAAATGCGGTTTTCATGCTTGGCAGCAACTGTTTAAATTCAGCCGGCATCTTCCTTCTTAACTGCAAAATCTATGAACAAGAACATCTGTTCCTGTTCTTGGCATTTACTTCTCATCCTGATTGACTCACTCACTCAAACAAATGTTTGTTGAATGCCCTCAATAAGGAATCAAAATCTGGACCTTTGGTGGCTAGAGGGAGCCCTGGTGGTAAAGTGGTTATGCAATGGACTGCAATCTGCATGGTTGTCAGTTCAAAACCAACAGCAGCTCTGGGACAAAGACTAGGCTTTTTACTCCTGTAAACAGTCTACCACAGGGAGTTGATAGGAGTCAGCACTAACTCAATGGCAGTGAATTTTTGTTGCAGTTAAATTCTACACTCTGAAAAGAAAAAGGTGAAAAGCGATGTCTTCCATGATCTTGGCTAACACCCCTCTGCAATTTTACCATAAAAATGAAAAACCAAAGCAGTGTTCTGCTTGCCTAGTTAAGTGTTCAGCAAGTTCAGAAATAAACTCTTCAGGAGCATCCTGTATACGCTTCCTTAAAAAATCTCCAACCTCTTCCTGGGGCATGAACGTGATTTCCAGCTTTTTTCTTCCTATAATAAATATTAAGGAACAAAAAACAAACAAAAAATGGGTAAGGTCTTGCTAACACATGTAACCTGATAGAATTTCATTCACTGCTGGCATAAAGACTTTAATGCTTATTTTTGGTCAATGAAATTGAAATGCTAAAGGTAATAAAAAATAGCTTTAACAAGAGTATATAGTATATATATAGTATATAGTAGCATTTTGTCAAGTTTCCTCAAAATGACTGTTTTCGTTAATCAGAGAATTAAAAAATGATAAACTTTTCCTCTACTCTTAATTAGATGATACATAGAATTGGAAATCATTTAGAAAGAACATTCTCACACAATGGCCACCGGCAGACTTTCCTTCTCTGTAAAAATGAGTATTTATTCAAAATAAAATCACTCTTGCCATTTAGATATGCTCTTCAGCAACAGTTATACTCTTGTGAACCACAGTGAAAAATTGTTTAAACTAAATCCTCACTTTTTAGAAAGGCACAGATAAAAAATTTCTCATAATTTTATAATCATAATCTATTTTGATCTTGCAGAGATGACTACCAAGGGAATTCTGCTCTAATGGAGGTAAACATTAACTGTGGAAATGACGTGCCTACTTTGCTGACATGGTACTGGTGGCCGATAAGGCTAACAATACTACCACTAGAGATTGTAGGAGCATAAATGTGATTAGCTAAATCAAGTTACTGATCCAAAAAGTTACACCTTAAGAATTGAAATTAAAATAGCTCAGAGATCAAATCTCCTGCACATGAAGATGCAGGGAGCTGAGACCACAGCTCGAGAACAAGCAGACAAGTATTAACCTTCCTCCTTTGATGAGCCTCTCATTTCCAGTCTTCCACACCAAATAGCCCATGATTCCCCTGTTTGCATCCTACATACATTTTACAAGTTGTTAAATTATATTTCTTTCTAGTAATCTTCACACTGAGTAGATCCTACATTTCAGCTGAGAACTCAATCTCATCCTCTATGTCAGAAATTACAACACAATCCTTTTTCAACATCATTGAAAAATTACATTTCTGTGGAAGAACAGTTTTAGTATTTTTAGAACCCCTTTCTATAATCTATGTCCAAACGCATCATATGCCTCACTTAACAATTATTTAAAAGTAGAAAGATTAGTTATTTTTTTGTAGCTCCCTTTCCCCTCACCTGCAGTAAGTACACTTGGGGAATAGGAACGTTCATTTACCAATGAAATGTAAAGCCCACGTATCAAAACCAAACACTCTGCTGTTGAGCCCTTTCCAAGTCGAAGTGATCCCTGTAGGGCAGAAGCTTCGAGGCCCTCAGTCTCGATGAAGCAGATGGCCACTTCCTACTCCTGCGGGGCAGCTGGTGGGTTCAGACGGACAGCCTTCGGGCCAGCAACTGAATGCTTCACCACCACTCACCCAGGATTCCTACAACCCAGATTCAAAACCCATTTTGCCCCTAACACATTTCCTGAGATGTAAATCTTCACAAGTACAAATGACCGCCACCTTTCTCCTGAGAAGTAGCTGGCAGGTTTGGATGAATTTTTGGTTGGCTGATCACTTTAACTACTGTCCACCAGGACTCCTCAAAACCCCCATCTCTCACTGCTATTGAAGGGCAGTGCTCATAGATTCTATAAAGCTTCTTCTTGTTTCATAAAGATGTTATCTTTCAAATCAGAAAAGTACCTGTTTTCATCTAAAGATAGCTTACTTGCAGACAGGACCGTAAATAAGGATGCGTTTATTAGTAGTAGTAGCACAGTAGCAGCTGCCGGCACACCAGTCACATGGGCACCTCCCAGCTGGACACTATTTGTAATTTCCACTCCATGGAAAGGGTAGCACATAAGGCTCAAACTATTATCATCTGCAGCGTTTTTTCCTTTTTGTGAGATAGGAGGGGCTATCACCGTTGGAGCCCTGTTGGGCTGCAATTTGCATGGTCGGCAGTTGGAAATCACCAACAGCTCCACGGGAGAAAGCCTGGGCTTTCGGGTCCCATAAACAGTTCCAGTCTCAGAAACCCACAGGGGGGTGTGGTGAGTCAGCACTGACTCGATGGCAGTGAGTTTGTTTTTGAGTTTTGGATCACTGTTGTATTGTTAAAACTCTTAAATAAAATAAAAAATTTTTTAAAGAACCTAATTTGGAAAAACAAAATAAGATGTCTCTCCTACTTTTAAAATAACCAAACATTAATCAGTCTAGGAAAAGAAAGGTTCATAAAAATTAATTCTCCCACTCAGATAGCAGCAACCAACCAGGTATGTGTTACCCTGAAAATTAAACGTGTATAAAGTTGATGTTTTCATTTTAAATTTGAGACACTTAGTTTCTATAAAGCAGTGCACAGCAGTAAGGGACCATAAAAATACCCGTGCAAGCTGAAGCTGTGCAAAGTGTTGTTAACATCCAATGGGAAAAGTCATGATTTGTGGCTTGTACAAATGTTTGTAAAAACATTCAAAGCTTTCCCACTGTTGGTTATAAATGTATAAGGGCATGAAAAGATAATAATACTAGTAATTTGGTACCCTGTGATTAACACATTACAAACAATGAGTGTTAAATTGTTTCATTCTTTTAGAAACAATGAGAGTTAGTGTTTCATTTCTCTAAAAAACTTATGGCGATAGTGTTTGCTGCCTTTCCCAGTCATTTAAGCATCTCTTCTCTGCCTTGTGAACAGCTATACTACTCTTTCCTAATTTTAGACCCATTCCAGCAGTTTGCTCTTTGCCCTTTCAATGTCATGAACTATTTCCCAGCGTTTCCTAAAGTTGTTTTGCTGGGTTTGCCTAGTCAGAAATATCTGTGTCCTGTATGTCTCAACCACTTTCCTTAGTGGTGTGGACAGCCCCAAACAAAACCAACCCCCAAACCACTGTCCTCGAGTCCATTCCCGCTCATCTCACTACCATCGGGACAATTCCAGCTCCTACAGCCTTACTGGACACAGGAGAATTGCCTCTGTGGGTGTTCAGGATTGTAAATTTTGATGGCAGTAGAAAGCCCCATCTTTCTACCAGGAGCAGCTGATGGTTTTGAATTGCAGATCTTGTCAGTTGGCAGCTCAACTACTGCCCCAGGGCCCCTTTCTCACTCATACTCTAGAGTAGGGTTTCCAGGACTGCACATTTTCACCTGAAATTAATGCACATTGGAACCAAGTAACATAAACAGATTCATGTGAGTACACGTTCTATGTGACGCACACCTACAAAGGAAGAACACAATACAAGTACAAACCTGGGTGAGATGACTGAGACTCCTCATCACTATCATCGTCTTTCCGTCCCTTCTTCTTAGTTTTCTTAGTCTTGTACTCTCTGGCATTGCTCCCACCTCCTCCTCTCACACTTCCACTGCCCTCTGGGGGAAATTCTTTAGTTAGTACTGTCTAATTAAATCACCTCTTTAAAAAGCTCTAAGAAATTTTTACTATCTTTTAAAATGTGGTGTTTTGGTATAAGTTTAATAAATTCAATCAATCAATAAATATGTAATCGATTGAATTTAAGGAACTTCCTCAGATAGCCTATCTATTCTGAATGCGTTCTTGCTCTAATTTCACCAAAACTGTAGCTTTGCTGACCGTTTTTTGGTCAGATATATTCTTTCCTACCATTGAGCTTCCTTTTTTACCTTCCCCAAAGAAATACGCCCTCATCTAATCATTTCACATGACAGTCTAAATAATACTCCCAGTAAGACACATATTTAACACAAATTTATGTGCCTGTTAGCTTGAAAGATGGCTCATGCTTACTCATCGATCACCTAACCAGTTCATGAGGTCCTTGAGAGCTAAAACACAATGTCTCATTAATGTATGTGTCCTTGGGTTAAAGCAATGCTTAATACATAACAAGTGCTCAATAAATGCTGACTGGGCATACGGAATTTCTTAAACAGAAAAATACCATTATCAATTACCTACTAGATATTTAAAGACTAAAGCACAACAACTTATGAAACAAATACTTAAACATTTTAAATGTTAGAGGTATCACTCTGCTGTTGCACATCACATTTTAAAAAGTGTCTGTTTAAAAAGAACTTTATAGTATTTGTTCTACAAAGATAGAATACTTAGTAATAGAATTTAAATTTTAAAAAGTTCCTATTATCCACTTCTTCACAAAAGGTGACATTTTCTCAATAGAGTGCTTATTAAGAACCTTTTCTAAATGCTAAGTAGAATTCTCTTTGATTTTATCTTATTCTGTATTTAAATGTCCTACTAATTTATCTTTCCTTTTTATTATGGGAAAATACTATTTTCAAAAGTACAAGTCTAAAGCAAATTTGCTTTTATAGTTGGTGATAAGTTTCTTATGGGGAGGACTCTCATACTTGACATTATTCCACATACTGTAGGCAAATGATTACAATAGCACCATCAATGAGAACAAAATCTCTTCAAGCAATATGATGCAATATACATGGTTATAAATGCTACTATGATGTATTATAGTACTTGTTGCTTACTATTGGTTTCTGAGAGGAATAAAGAAGAATCCCAACCATAAGGTTTGGAAAGAAGTTTTGACAAAGGAAAAAACTTTCCTGAGAGTAATGGGAGAATGAATTCCCACAGCAACTAATCATGTTCTTATAAGACTATCCAATAAAATTGTTGAGTTTCTAAATCTTTAACTTTCATATAACACCAATGAAATTGTTTCTTCTATAAAAAGTATGTAAAAAAATTACTTTTTAAATGTAAGTTACTAATAACCAGAGCTACCTAGAATAATTTACAGTGACTCCACATTTGAAAAGAAAAACACATTTCTTAGGAAATGTATTCATTCGATAAATATTTATAGAGGCCCTAAACGATGACCACCAGAAGTCAAGGTATGGGCGTCCCAAACAATGAAATACACCACGAAGACAAAAGCTACGCAACAAAACTTACAAGATAACACAATGTAGAGTGGCCGTAGCTACTAGTCTGTACAGTTAGCGGGGTCCTTCTGAGAAAATGGCATTTTAATTGAGTTCTGATTGACAAAAAGGAACCAGCAAGTCGGTGTTTAAGAGAAATGCATCCCAAGTAGAAAAGTACACTGAGTGTAAAAGTTTAAGAGAAACAAGAGCTTGGCACATTTGAAAATCAGAAAAAAAAAGGCTACTTTTTTCTGGGCTGGAAGTTGAGAACAATAAAAGTTGGGTAAGACCATAAAATTAAGTTAGTTTCATAAAACAGTATAGTCAATATTTACATTGTAATAATTAAAATCTAATTAAATAATAAAAATTAAAATTAAAGATCAATCAAGAAAACAGAAGTCCTTTCAAAAGACCTAGTAAATGCAAAGTGCACTGAACTGAGTAATACACTCCTCTCTTTGAATCATCTGGTTAGTAAAACTCATTACCTGTTGCTTTTCTTCTTCGTTCCTCTTTTTTATCCTTTTTACCTGTAGTACTGCTTTCTAAAATAGAGACTTGTTTCAGATCTTCTTCAGTGATTAAATGGACAGGATTATTTTTCATTTCCTGAAATAAAACATTTGGGGGTGGGGTGGGGAGAGGGCACAGATATATAAATAAAAGTTATTGTTTTTATACTCATCTCTACTGTTCTTTTGGTTTTGCTGTTCTGAAGAACCACAGAACGTTAAGTCACAGCTGCTACACTGAGGCTGTTTCTGCTTGCCCCAAACCACTCTTCTTCTTGCTGTTCTTGGCTTGTTGTACCTATTACGAGTTAATGAGAAATCCTATCTGATCACTGAACAGTCTTATCTGATTGCTCAACATCAGATGCAGTTTCTTCAGTTGCTATTGTTTACTATTCATGAATAGGTGGCCCATGCCCCGTTCTTTTCTTTTTTTGATTTAAAGATCCAACTGGATACTTGGGATTACCAGAAAGTTAAGTACTGTCCATATATCTGATACCACCCAACTAACCATATATGAGCTGCACATCAAGAATTAGTAAGTTTTTCCTCAAGACTCATTCTTGATAATCTCTACTTTTAAATAGCTCGATGTCATCTAGTTACCCTGATTGCACAGCCAAAACCAGTAAAACAAATGTGAAATTGTTAATAAGAACAATTTATGTAATTTAGTAAGAACATTATGCACTCATTAATAAATGTATCATTTATACAAGTCATCTATAGATAACTACCTTTGTACATTTTCATCTTTTAAAGTTAGATCATTGCTCTCAGTTAGCTGATAAGTATGTAATTTCATTTATGTCATTTCAATGTAAGGAGTCAGCCCCCCAAAAGTAAAGATATCAAATAAAATAAAAGGATGTGCAGTAAAAAGTGTTCCTTTTGGGCAGACTGATTATGCCATTTTCCCACAGACATTAATAATGTGAAAATACTGTGAAGGTTACAATGAAAGGAAATCTGAATTACCTTTTCAGCTTTCTGGTGCATCAGTTCACTGAACAGTCCTATACAATCACTTATAAATTTTTCACTGACTACCACAGTGTCACTAAAGACTACGGCTGAAGCCTGCTTGCTGAATGCTCTCATCACCTGCTGAAGCAACATTGCAGCATCTTCAACTGATAAAGAACTAGGCAGCAGAGGCTAGAATTACCAAAAAAAAAAAAATTAAGTATATATGCAATACAAGACAGATAAACCGTTTGCTTTCTATATGCTCTCTCTAGGTGATCTTAATAAGTCCAATGGCTTTTAGAACCATGTATATGCTGACCAAAGTTGGCAGGTCAGCAAGTAACCCCACGAGGCACACTGCAGGAAAAGATGAGGCTAGCTGTTCCTGTAAAGATCAGCTATCTCCGAAACCCCTTTTAGGGCCACCGTGAGTTCTGATCCACTCAACAGCCATGGGTCTGCTTTGGTTTATATGCTGACAGAGGAGCTCTGATGGTGATCTGTGATAAACATTGGGCTACTAACTGCAAAGTTGACAGTTAAAACCACTAACTACCCTGTATGCGAAAGATGAGGCTGAAGGCTCCCATAAATACTTACAATCTCAGAAACAATAAAGAACAGTTCTATTCTGTGTGGTGTAGTGGTTATGAGTTGGGATGCTGAACAGTCAGCAGTTCAAAGCCACCAGCCACTTTGTGGGAAAAAGCCTTTCTACTCCTATAAAGAGTTATCATCTCAGAAAGCCATTGAGGCAGTTCTACCCTGTCCTGTAAAGTCACTTCCTATGAGTCAGAATCAACTCGATAGCACTGATTTTGGTTTGGGTTTAAGAGTAAGGACTAGACAAAAGTGGAAGTGAGCATTAGGCTTATATGCTGATAATCACTCAAATTATGCATTTTTAGTTTCATCATCACACCGAGGTATAGAAACATACATCCTATTACCCACCTACCATCCCACTTATATGTTGGGGGAGGGGTCTTCTAAAAGTTTGTAGAAAAATTCCATTTTCAAAAAATTCTGCTTTCCACAAGCTTTTGGAAGACCTTAAGTACATCTACAGGCATATGCCATCTACCTGTGTGAAACACTCATGATTTATGGCACCTCCATCTCCCAGCCTCCATTTCAATTACTGGTACTACCTTCCACCTCAGTTGGCCAGGACCCAAACCTAAAAATCACATTCAGTTCTCTTTTTTTTCATACCCATAAACAATCCAATGGGCTCAAACATAAGAGCAATCATGAGAATGGTGCAGGACTGGGCAGTGTTTCATTCTGTTGACTCTGAGTCAGAACTAATTCATTGGCACTTACAACAATTACAAACTAGTCCCAGTAACTTTACCTCCAACATATATTTTTAGTTTTTGCATGCTCTGAAATTATTATTTTCAATGACTTTCTCCCCTCAATGAAGATATCCCTCTCGAGCAGGGAACTTAGCTAGGTGATTTTTCTCCAGCAAGTACAATGGTGCCATATAGATGATATTTAATAAAATTGTGAATAGAAAAGACAACACGTAAATCTGGTATCTTCGGGAACTGGTGTATCTGCTTCACAGAGACAGTCTGGGCCCTCACTGGTAAATGATAGATTGGCCTTTTCTTTCTTCATGAAGGCCAGCTCAACCTTAACATAATATACTATCAATGCTAAAGCAAATTGTTTTAATGTTAGCAGATGTTAACACATAAGAGATAAACAATGCTACCACATGCCTGACGTCAGTATAGTTTTAAATGTTTCAATGAGACTATGAGGATTTCATCCATTTCTATGGTTTACAGGGCTGATGAAAGTGACATACACATACATGAATTTTTAGAATTCTAGATGTTGGTTATGCACACGTAGGGTGTTACCATCTACCTGAAAGCTACAATGACTGTAGCGTAAAAGAATTATGATTACTTTTATTGAAACAAGGACAATTATAATTAGTCTCTAAAGCACATTACCACCAATTTTGTGTATCTTAACTTTTAAAACAGTCATATGTTAGTGAATTATCACTTGTCATTGGTTTAGGAAAACTAATAAGAAAATGATAAAACATACTGCAATATCAACCCATGTTCCAGAGCTGATGGCTTCCTCTACTGATGCTTCCACCTGGTCCACAAGTCCTTGACCAACACAAGCTGCTTTCAAAAACAAGAGCTGTGTAGTCTTGTATCTTTTCTTTATGTAGCTTAAAGCATCTGGGATTCCAAGTCTGGACAAAGCATCAAATTCTAGCAATATATCAGAAAGGTGGGACAGGGCAAAAAGAATTATCAATTACTCATACCTTTTTAGCTAAAGTCTTAAGAAAAAGTTAAATTCCATTTTTTTTTAGAAATAAAGTACAAAGATATACCACAACCTATTCCTTGGTCACTTTTCCTTTAATTATATTGTTTATTCTGACTCAGAGCAACCATATAGGACAGAGTAGAACTGCCCATGTGGGTTTTCAAGATTGTAAATATTTACAGAGGTAGAAAGCTTCATCTTTCTCCCATCGCTGAGGCTTTCTGCTTCTGTAGAGATTTACAGTCTTAGAAACCCACAAGGGCAGCTCTGCTGTACTCTATAAGGTTTCCCTTAGTCAAAATATACTTCACATAAAATTTTAAAAAGAAAAGATGACCAGGGAGTAGGTGGCGGTATATGGTTCTCCTGTATTTATGAATAAATTAGTTTAAGTACAGCCTCCTCATTAACTAGCTTTGTCACTCCCTCTCCAACTGAGGAGGTCAGAAGAAAACACGTAAGAACTAATGGGCAATAAAAGCAGAGACAGAAGTAATAGGCAGGATATGGGTTAGTGAGAAAAACGATAACTTATTTTACATATTAGTTAATGAAGTAATGCTATTTATTTTTTTAATGTTTCATCAGATAAATAAGAACAAAGTAATTCTCCAGTCTAATTTAAAGCAGAAAAAGTTTTAATACTTTAGACAGAAGTAAAAAATAAGAACTTAAAATTTTAGCCTCTAAAGTTATGATAGATATCTATCTTCCAGTCCCCAAATAATCATATTAAAGAAAACTTTTATGACAAAGTGTTAATCCACATCCATGTTGACTCAAAACTTGGAAAACATATCACAGAAAGTGAAGAAAACTTCAGCAAAACACAGTATGAACATATATTTAAACTGTTTAACTGGACTAATGAGTTACAGGTTGGCTACTGATCAAGTAACTAATTTGTTACATGTTGTAACTTGGGTTAGGAACTTGATTAAAATATGTGTTCTACCTATATTTGCTCTCTTCTTCTTAATGACCAGATTCCATCAATCAACTTTGTCCAGTGACAGCAGGATAAATGAAATAGGATTTGGAAAAACTTCAAATGCTTATGAAGTTTTGGGCAACTACTAAACATAAACATTGAAAATTGATAGCTGATAAGTCATATAATCGAAAAAACTGGCCATTTAATAAAATATATGAAATAAGTATATTTAATTTATATGAATTTAAAATGCATGAACTCGTGGTATTAACTTAGCATCACTAGAAAACTAGGAACAATCGAATAGCAGCTTTTGACTTTTCTACATAATTAATTGTACAGTGACCATAAAATTAACTCAGTCCCAAGACCCACGCAATCCCGCAGTGTGACTATCTTTACACTCAAGGAGAACCATTAATCTGTTGGCTATAGGTAAACATACTATGTATACATTTTTGAGGTTAGTATAAGACTTCCTAAGAATATGGTTAGTAGTAGAAAGCTGTTTTAGTGTTAAATAAAAGCAAAAGAGTTACCTAGATAGCCATTCTGCCTGAAAAAGGAATCCACCCAAGTATTCTGCGTTCTGGAGTAGATGTCAGGGACAAACACCGCCTTGTCCTGTCTCCCACCAACCACGGTGCCTCTTAAACGCCCAGTATTAACAAGTTCCTCAAGCACAGCTTAAAACAAACCCACAAATACAAACAAATCACAACAGGCATAAATCTCAAAAAGCAAAATACTTTATAATTTAACTATTCCTATCCTGTACAAAGCAGATGAAAGTTTTGTAGCATAAATAAAGGCATTATATTTTAGTCAAAAGTTTCCTGCCGCTTAGGAGAATGTACAGGTCATATATTTGGGGGAGATTTTGGTTAACTAGCTAGAGGTGTAAAGCTGTAACTCAAATCAGTAAATACTAACCTACTGAATTTTAAATTTGATTATTGTGTGCAAAGCAACAGTCTGCCACAATTTAGCTCATAAAGAAAGATAATATGCAATCATAAGTTTCTAATATTAAGTTCAAGGTAACTAGATCATCTTAGAATCAGCTATTCTAAACAAAGTCATCACACTTTTATAAGTTACTGTATTTGCATTGTTTAAACTGCATTAATACATTTGGTTTGCTAAATGTAAGGTCAGCAGTTGAAATTCACCAACAACTCTGTGAGAGAAAGATGTGCCAGTCTGTTTCCATAAAGATTTATAGTCTCAGGAGTTGTAAAGAGAAATTCTACTCTGCCGCATAGGGCAGCTATGAGCCAGAATGGACTCCTACAATCAATAGCAGAAATATACAGTGAACCCTCGCCACTTCGCGCTTCGACTTCCACGGCTTCACTCTATCGCGGTTTTTGC